CTTAGTCTTATTATTCTTACCATCATAGTTAGGGGCAGGGTGGCTTTCTCATCCTGGGACAGCTTTACCCAGCATCTGAGTTAGGGTTCGCATGTTGGAAAGAAGAGCTGAATGTTATTATTGAAGAAGGGTCCTAAAAATCTGTCCAGACACCAGAGTTTCATGTTGAGTTTAGCAGATATGAATCAACAACCCAAACTGAAATGGGAAAGATGTGTCGTATTTGCTGACACTACTTAAATCAAATTAAATCTAAGTCCTGGTCCCACTAGGCTTGTCAGAAAATTCCATCCCAGTTGTTGCTGGGGCCCCCTCCGTGTTTCAGTTATCTGTCACTGCGTAAGAAATCACCCCAACACTTAGAGGCTTAAAGCAACAGCAGTCATTCTCTCACTCATGAACCTGCGATTTGGACAGAGCGCAGCGGGGACAGCTTGTCTCCACTCCATCTGATACGGGTTGGCGCAGCATGACTGGGGGCGGGAAGATTTGCTTGCAAGATGGCTCACTCCTGTGGCTGCCAAGATGGTGCTGGCTGCCAGCTGGGAGCTCGTGGGTTGGGTTGGTTCCTTTCCACATGGGCTTCTCCAAGGGCCATTTGACCTTCTTCATGGGACTTTTGGGTCCCAAGGTCAAGAACTCAAAGGAACCAGGCAGGCGCTGGCTGTCGGCTAGGAGCTCATTGGGCTGTGGTTGGGGAGTCTTGGTTCCTCTCCATCTGGGCTTCTCCAAGAGCCATTTGGCCTTCTTTATGGTGTGGCCATTGGATTTCAAGACCAAGAGCTCTAGGGAATCAGATGGAAGCTGTATTAATTTTTATGATCTAGTGTTGGAAGTCACAGAGTGTTACTCTGCTTTAACCACAAGTCCTCCCAGATTCAGGGGGAGGAGATATATATCCCACTTCTTGATGAGAGAAGTATCAACGTCACATTTATAAAAAGAGTATTTGGGATGGGAGATATTATTGCAACCACGTTTGGAAAGCACAGTCTACTGCTCCCGTAACCAAAAGGTTAAACAGAAGTTCTAGAGTCTAAAATACCAGGCATTTTGGTCGCCTCTCTCCAGACCTTGGCCCAGACGAACCACTGCTCTGATACGCATGGTCCAAGCCCATGTTGTATTTTAGGGTCTGGGACTTCTGGGTTTGTGCACTCCTGTGAGGTCAAAGGTAAGGGCAGCCTAGCCCAGGGGTTCCTCGCACACACAGACTCAGGAGCCAGATTCCCAGCTCCTTCACTAATAGGCTGTGTGCCTCTGAGCCTCAGCTTCTTCAGCCATGAAGTTGGGATAATAACGCTAATGCCTCCCTCATATGTTTTATGAAGATTAAATGAGCTAATGTTTATAAAATATTTAGAAAAGTGCTTGGTTCATAGAAAGTTTTATTAAATAAAACCTATCCCCTATACTTCAATAATATATATACATATATTTTTTTAAAAAAAAAAAGAAAAAACCTATCCAATAGTCCAGTCAGCAATTCCTGGGCACTTACTGTGTGCTGGGCACCAAATAAATAGAGCCAAGAGCCGCATGGCAGGTGCCCTTGGGCAGAGAGTACTTGATGATATTACTTCAATGGTCCTCAACCATGGCAGACTATATTTCACAGGATGGCCAGATCAGTATACATCTCATCTCGTGTGTTCTTATGATGTGACATTGACCCATTTTCATCAAGGAGTGGGGTGTGCTCCATCCCCTTGAACCTGGGTGGACCTCACAAGATTGTTAGGAAGCATAAATATTTGCAAAGCTTTTATTATGCTTATTTTTAATTATTCCAAACCTAACATTTGATTAAACTCAGGTGGGATGAACTCTGG